AGCCTCCTGGCTCTGCCTCCCGAGTGCTGGGATTAAAGGCGTGCGCCGCCGCCACCACCACCCAGCTTAAAACTTTTGATGTATAGAAAGAAAGCCCTCAGTAAATTATAAATTATAGTCTATTTTTAAGATAATAAGTAGCCGGGCGGTGGTGGCGCACGCCTTTAATCCCAGCACTCGGGAGGCAGAGCCAGGCGGATCGCTGTGAGTTCGAGGCCAGCCTGGGCTACCAAGTGAGTTCCAGGAAAGGCGCAAAGCTACACAGAGAAACCCTGTCTCGAAAAACCAAAAAAAAAAAAAAAAAAAAAAAAAAAGATAATAAGTAAGCTTTATTTTAAAAATCATTTGACAGAAATTTTGCTTAAAACATGAGCACTGATACAATAGCTAAATAAAATACCCATTAAAACCAGGCACAGTGGCTTACATCTTTAAATTCAAGGCCAATCTGGTCTATGGAGCAAGTTTCAGGAAAGCCAAGGTTACAGAGTAACCCTATCTCAAAAAAAAAAAACCTTTAAAAAAAAGTATTTTAGATGAAAAATAGTAAACAGAAGTGCTAGTAAGTTATCCCACAATAACTCTTGGCAAAAAGTTAAGCTGGGCAAGCAGGATTGCTCAGTAGGTAGCAGTGCTTGCTTGGAAAGGCTGACAACTTTATTTCTAGCTTCAGAGCCGCCAGTAGAAGAGAACGCATTTCCAGAAGCGTGCACACACACACACACACACACACACACACACACAATCTAATAATAATAATAATAATAAGAAGAAGAAGAAGAAGAAGAAATAACAAACAGACTCAGAAGGACACGTAGCCTGTCTGGGAGGCTTTTTAGAAGACAGAGAACAGTTGTGCCAGATCTTGGTAGGGTCACCCTATGGAGTGTCAACTGGCTTGAAACTTGCCATGTAGACCTTGACCTCAGCAGTCCTCCTGCCTCAGCCTTCTGAGTGCTTAATGGTGTTGGAACTGAACAGGTGGACAGAAGAGCAGACGTCAACCTAGTGAGGGTTAGGGCAGGTGGGCAGGGAGAACCTCCAGAGGGAATGGCGTAGACAGCGATGGGGCAGCTAACTTGAGCAGTGCCTCAGGTGTGGCCGAAGCCTTTGTAAGTAGTTGTAGAGACTACAGGATCACAGGTGGAATCGTGCCTCACTGTATCCTTAATAACTGATGTTCTCTCAATGGTGACACACGTCTTTAATCCCAGCACTGGGAAGCAGAGGCAGGCGGAGTTCGAGGAAAGGCTGGTCTACAGAGTGAGTTCCAGGACAGCCAGGGCTACACAGAGAAACCCTGTTTTGAAAAACCAAGAAAAACCAAAAATAAAAACTGATAATCTCATGTAGACCTCATCCTATAGCTGCCTTGTTCCTCCAGCTTCTTCTCTCCCTAGATTGTCTACAACCTGTTGTCCCTGCGCTTCAACTCTCGGATCCGGGTGAAGACCTATACAGATGAGCTGACGCCCATTGAGTCCATAGTCTCTGTGCACAAGGCGGCCAACTGGTATGAGAGGGAGGTGAGCTCTTGGATGTGGTGGGCCTGCGCTGGGCCAGAAACACAGCATTGTCTGTAACTATGAGGTGTGGGGCAGTGCAACTCATTTGCTCTTGGCCCTGATGGACAGGTTGCCTGAGAGCTGTTCTTTTCTAGGTCTGGGACATGTTTGGAGTTTTCTTTGTTAACCACCCTGATCTAAGAAGGATCCTGACAGACTATGGCTTCGAGGGACATCCTTTCCGGAAAGACTTTCCCCTCTCTGGCTATGTTGAGGTAGAAACCTTAACACTGGGGTAGCGATCATGGAGCCTGAGATCATAAGCATGATGGGAATAGGATCTGTAGATTATCTGTAGGTTTAAGAGCCTGTGCTGCAGGCCTAGTTTTATTTTATGAAGTGGGGCAGGTTATTTGATTTGGCCATGAGACAGCTTTCTCATCTGTATAAAGCCTGCTATATTATGTGTTAGTTAAAGCTAGCCATTATTGTAATGATTTTTTTTTGGGGGGGGGGTGCTTTTTTTTTTTTTTAAGATGTATTTATTCATTATGTATACAGTGATCTGCCTGCATGTATGTCTGCAGGCCAGAAGAAGGCATCAGATCTCATTACAAATGGTTGTGAGCCACCATGTAGGTGCTGGATATTGAACTTAGGACCTCTGGAAGAACAGCCAGTGCTCTTAACCTCTGAGCCATCTCTCCAGCCCGGAAGGTGCTTTTTGAGACAGGGTTTTTCTGTGTAACCACCCTGGCTGTTCTGGAGAGCATGCTGGCCTCAAACTCACAGCACTGGCTTAAAGAGTTACACCATTAATGAATGCCTGGCTTGTATTTTATTTTTTAAGATTTTTATTTTTATGCTAGGCAGTGGTGGCACACACCTTTAATCCCAGCACTTGGCAGGCAGAGGCAGGCAGATCTATGTGAGTTCTAGGCCAGCCTGGTCTACCAAGTAATTTCTAGAACAGCCAATGCTATACACAGAGAAACCCTGTCTTGAAAAAAAAAAAAAAAAAGCAGGGTAGGGGGTGGGGTGGGGGTGGATTTATTTTTATGAGTATGAGTGTTTGTCTGTGTATATGTATATGTGTGCCTGTACCAGATCCCCTGAAACTGGAGTTACAGCTGGTGATAGTCCACCACGTCCAGTGCTAGGAATCAAATCTGAAGAACAGCTAGTGCTCTTAATGGCTGGACAGTCTTTCTAGTCACTTGTTTTTGTTTTTGTTTTTGAGACAGGGTTTCTCTGTCCTGTCTCTGTCCTCAGGCCTGGCTGTCCTGGAATTGACTCTGTAGCCTAGGCTGGCCTCAAACTCACAGAGATCCGCCTGGTTCTGCCTCCCGAGTGTTGGGATTAAAGGCGTGCGCCACCACTGCCCCGCCCTGATACATTCTTATAATCCCACTACTAGGGAAGCTGAGGCAGAAGGACTGTATTACGGCCAGCTTGGGCATGGCAAGAGCCTATTAAAGGGGTGGGGACTGGAAGATGGCTCACTTGGTAAAGTGCCTGCTACATAAGCAGGAGGACCTGAATGTGGATCCCCAGTATCCATGTAAATGCATGGATGTAAGCCAGGCAGGCAGATCTCTCTTGAGTTCCAGAGGAGCCTTTAATTCCAGCACTCAGAGGTAGAAACAAGCGGACCCTGAAATGAAGACCAGCATCATCTACAGAGTGAGTTCCAGGACAGCCAGCGCTACACAGAGAAATTCCAACCCCCCAAACCAAAAACAACAACAGTAAAAGCTAGCTGTATGAGTAACAAAGGAGGTCTATGGAGCTCATTAGTCAGCCAGCCTAGTCTAGTCAGTGAGCTCTAAGTTTAGTGGGAGGCCCCTTCTTAAAAATAAGGGACGGGCCAAGGAGATGGCTCCGTTGGTCATGCACTTAGAAGACCTGAGTTTTGATCCCCAGAACCCAGGTAAAGTGGTGCACAGTAACTCATGTATGTAATCCCTGTGCTCCTGCAGCAAGATGGGCAGTGGAGACAGGAGAATCCCAGGAAGTTCATGGGCTGGCCAGCCTGCACACAGCAGTAAACAACAGCACTTACATAGCGCACGCGCACACACACACACACACACACACACACACACACACACACACACTATATAAACATGATTCATACACATTAAATAAATAACATGGAGAATGACCAAGGAGATACTTGATGTTGACCTCTGATCTCCATATATGCACATGCTCACATGAATGTGTATATACATTGTGCACACACAAAAAGGATAGATGGCCACTGAGGAGGGGTCATAGTTTTAGTGGCCTGGCAAGTTGTTTATTAGCACACATATGAATTTGTAGTGAGGTATCTTAGAAATGCTGAGATGCATGACATTCCTGACCTGCTTTTTCTTTTCTTTTCTTTTTTTTTTTTTTTTTTTTTTTTTGTCTTTTTAATGTTTTTGGACGGGGGTCTCACTGTATAGACCTGGCTAGCCTGGAACTCACTCTGTAGACCACTCTGTAGACAGACTCACAGAGATGTCTGCCTCTGCCTCCCACGTGCTGGGATTGAATGCTTTTATCACTACCACCCAGCCTCGTTTTGGTTTTTTTTTTCTTTCTTTTTTTTTTTTTTTTTGTGTGTGTGTGTGTGTGTTGGGTTTTTTTGTTGTTGTTGTTTGTTTTTTGAGGCAGGGTCTCTGTAGCCCTGCCTGTCCTAGAGCTTTGTAGACCAGGCTGGCCTTGAACTCAACAGAAATTCTTCTGCCTTACCTCCCGAGTGCTGAGACTAAAGGGGAACACCACCACACCCAGCCTAAATTTAATTTTCAGCCACTGACTGTTCCTAATCTGAGGTCAGTACTTGCTATTACCTTTTAAGGTGTGTGGTTGGGTGAGCATTAAGTCTGCTAGCAGATAGATAATTCAGAGCTCAAGATGTAACATGGCAGGGGAATCAACAATGCTGGCAGCAGGTAAAAAGGAAAGGCCATTTTGAAATCCCACACATTAGTTTATTTCGATGTGTGACCGCATGGGTAGTAGGCATGGATGTGACAGAGCCTGTAAAGAGTACTGAACAGAAGTCAAGGGAAGAGGGAAGGAGACTGGAGGTCATGTGAAACGGGCTCCTCAGTTATTAGTTCTAACTTTGGCTCCTGCAGCTCCGTTATGACGATGAGGTGAAGCGGGTGGTAGCTGAACCAGTGGAGTTAGCCCAAGAATTCCGAAAGTTTGACCTCAACAGTCCCTGGGAGGCTTTCCCTGCCTATCGTCAGCCTCCTGAGAGTCTGAAGCTTGAAGCTGGCGACAAGAAGCCTGAAGCCAAGTAGCTTCAAAAGCACGTGGATCCTAGAGGAAGAATGACTTATCTATGGTCGTCTGTGTAAATAAACTCCTAGGGACATTCACCCCTTCCTCTGTGTTTTTTGTTTGTTTGTTTGGCTGCTTTTTTCAGACAGGGTTTCTCTGTGTAGCCCTGGCTGTCCTGGAACTCAGATCTGCCTGCCTCTGCCTCCTGAGTGCTAGGATGAAAGGCAAGCGCCACCGCCTGGCTGCCTGTGTGTGTTTTTCAAATGTTTACTTATTTAGTGGGGGTGGCAGCACATACGGAGGTCAGGGGATGATCTGCAGGAGTGATCTCCCACCGTGTGAGTTCTAGGAATTGAACTCGGGTCATCAGGCTCCGCAGTATGTGCTCCTTCTGCTGAGGCGCTCCCTTCCCCAGCCCCTTCCTCGTACCACATTGGGTAGAAATGGCACTGACTCAGGAGAGGTGCGTAGAGGTGTTCCCTGCCAAATCCGTCTATTTATCGGGACAGTATGCTACAGTTGTAGACATTGTGCTCTGTAGGCCTCCATGTGTTTCTAGGGGGTTCTGGAGCTGTAATTCGGTCTTCATAGTCCTTGGGGTTTAGAATAGGTGTGGCATGTTTTTTAGTGACAACTGAAGGGCCTGGAAACTGCTGAAGAAAGCCCTTATCTCAGCAGACTCTATTGGAAGCAGCTGATAGATCCAGGGGCCTGGGTGGGGCCAGGAAAACCCCAATCTACTGTGTTCCCACCTAAACATCACAGGGTTCTCTGAGCCAAGTGTAAGAGCCCATCCATCTGTGCAAGAACAAACATGCTTCTGCAAAACTGAAGAGTCCCCATCTCTGAGGGGTGAAAATAGCCCCCAGAAGGTGAATGAGGCCATAGCCAGCCCTGCCCTACTCAGCACTAAAGACTGACACGAAGGAATGCAGTAGCCTGCAGGGAGAGTTGGAGCTGTGGTAGGCAGATGAAGAGCAGAGCGCTGGGGGGAGTCAGAGGACATGGCTGGGGCACTACAGTTCCTGCTCTGTCTAGTGGTAGGTAGCTATTGGTCTCCTCCCTCGGGTGGCTTTAGCTCAGAATCATGCAGGTGATTCAAGGGTTTCAGGGTGGGTGGCTAGGAGCCAAGAAAAGGCTGTTGGCCGACACCAGGTACAGTTGGCTCTTTGAGCCTCACATGGCAGAGGAGCTGTGGGCCTGGTGAGTGCTATAGTGGGTGATGGTGTGGAAAGCCTATGGAGATGAGTGTCCGTGCTTACTGTTGTTCTGGAACTCTATCAGGGCATTGTGCAAGTTATAGGAGTCATGTTAGGTTTCTGCCAAGAGGGGAGTCAGACTTGGCATGCACTGGGATAAGAGCCATGCCTGGGAGGGTGACTATCAGCGTGCATATATGTGCATTTGGAATAGGGGAGGGGACATGAGATGGCATCCACGAACTTTTCTGATAAAGATGCCTCCTGGGCAACAGAAAAGTTTTCTGGGAGGCTGTGTTCAGAGTGAAGGATCAGCAGGGATCTGATTCCTCTCTACTGCCTCAGGCCAATCCATGGATAGCTCTGTTGTGGGAAGTGGCCTCCAGGAGCCAGAGGGCCCGGAAGTGATGCTTAAGTTCCATTCTTCCTAGCCTGGACCATGGGTTTGAAAGAGAGCTAAGGGTAGACCTTCCTGTGGTAAGGAGCAGCCAACATGAGTCCCTACCACCAGTTTATGGCCTCCCCAACGCCTTACCCACTCTTGCTTCCATGCCTGACCCCTAAGGACAGCCCACCCCTAAAATAGCTCCTCTTGCAGCTGCTCTGGGCCAGGGTGGAAGTGGACATCATGGACAGCTGTACATCCAGGATCCACACATCCAAGCCGTCGACTCAGGCTCCTGCAGCACCACCTGCCAGTGATTTGAAGGGTGCTAAGCAGTGGCTACAGCAATTCTAGGATCTTCAGAGAAGGCCTCTTAGCCCTTCAGCATCTGCTTCTTATAGGCCTGGTGTGTGTCTATCAGTTCCATGAGACCAGTGAGGCTGAGGAGAGGGGTTGTTGGTCCCAGGTCTTTGCCCTCCTGACACAGGAAACACTTCGGACCTGTGCAAGAGTTTCTGTCCCAGGGAGGTGGGGGGGGGGGGATCCTGGGCCTCCATCCTTGACCCTAACCCCTGACCCTTCCCTTTCACTTGACATCTCCCTGCTCATCACCCTATCTCTACCCTGGACAGGACTCCATCTGGCTTCTGGTTCTTCCTAGTCAGATCTCTGGCCTAGCTTGGCCCCTGGTTCTTGACCACTCATGCTTATTCCTAGTCTCGTTCCATAGACCCAGCTAAGGCCTGGGTTTCGGCAATAAGCACAGTGCTAAGGTAAGGGCAAGACTGGCAGCCAGTGGTTACATGGAGGTATGTCCAGAGGTCAGTGTTGAAAAGTGTGTTTAATTTAATACATGCTGAAAGGAAAGCAGCCCTAAGGTAAATCATGTCAGCTCCTCTAACTCCTATCCCGGCAGTCCTGTGAAATATGGAAACCCTGTGTGCCTGTCACCAAGTCTTAAGAGATTTATTTCAAAGCTAACCAAGACTCTGTGGTCTCTGAGACTGCAGAGTCCCCATGTGGACTAGGAGCATAGATTGGACTTCAGTGGCTCTATTTACAAGAGGCGTAGAGGGAAAAAGTGGAGGAACGTTACACCTCTTTGTGGAGAGGAAAGGAAAAGGTCTTTTGTTTCATCTCAAGCCTCACATGTAACATCTCGGAGGAAGGAATAAAGCTGGGCGAAGACCCTCGCAGAGAGACTGGCTCAGGCAGTGTAGGGGATGTGTTGCCCTGATTCTGTGTAGCTCTGTTCTGGCCTCCCAGGGCCCGTCTCACTTTTGTGCCTAAGACAACTTAGGCTAACGTGTGTTCTGAGCAAATCACTCAGCCCATTCTGGGAGGGCGGGAGGCAAGCAACCAGGTCCAGCCCTTATCTCAGTCCCATGCCCTACTGAAAGAAGGAACATGCTGTTTCCTTGAATCCTGTGTTCCTAGTAAGTTAGAGCAGTAGGATGATATTCCCTGTCACTGAGAAGCATTAATTTGGGCCCGAAGAAGAATATGAGAAGTGAGAAGTCAGAGGGAGGGACGCACTGGACACAGACATGAAGGTGAGGCCTACCTGCATTTAGGAGAACATGCTTCAAATTCTTCTCACTCTTACCAGGCTTGACCGCCCACCCCACCCCATCTAGGCCCGATGGTTTGTACTAGTCAGGATAGTCCTGTCCCGTCCCGGGGAGAGGGGGAGGCAAAGGCATCACAGTGAAGACACAGGGCAGGACCCTAAGGCTGGCAGAGGCAGGCCCACTTTATTGGCAGAGTCCAGGCGCGTCGAGCAGGCTGTTATGCTCGGGCGGTGGGGCGTTCGGGCCGCGGTCCCGGCTCGGCATGCACACCCCCACGGCCTTCCCGGGTTGCTCCAAGCAGGGGCTTAGAGCTCGGGGGGCTTGAGGGCCGGCGGGCCGGCGTTGGCGGCGGCGGCGAGGTCGGGGTACACCAGGAAGCCCGAGAAGGTGATGTACTTGCCGTGGTTGCTGTAGGCGCCATAGCCATCATGGTCGTGGCTGAGCAGCCAGACGGCGTCGCCGCGCCGCAGCGCCAGCATCACGCTCTGGCTCTGCATCTCGCGGCGCCTCGAGGCGCCGTCGTCGTAAATCATGGCCTGCACCTCGTCGCGGTTCTTCATCAGCTTCACCGACAGCGTCTTGCGCGGCAGCTTGCCCAGCGTGAAGGAGAAGAAATAGGCGCCGGGCAGGCGGCAGCGGAACACGCCGGCCGCCGCGTCGAAGTCGCCACCGATGTTGACCAGCTCGGTGTCGAAGGCCAGCGGCCGGTGGCGCGGCCCGGGGCCGGCGTCCGAGCCCACCAGGCTGCGCGTGCGCGCCGCCGAGAAGGCCGAGCGCGGCTCCGGGGGCGCGGCCCCGCGCGCAGGCGCGTCGGCGGCGCCGGCGTCGGCGTCGCCGGCGTCGGCGTCGGCGTACACCAGGTAGCCGCTGAAGGTGGCGCCGGGGGCGCCCAGCGCGTACTGCGGGGCGCCGTGCAGCCGCAGCCACACCGTGTCGCCGTAGTCGAGCTGCAGCATGGCGCTCTGGCTGGCCGCGCGCCGCGCGCCGGGCCGCCGCTGCTCGTCGAAGGCCAGCGCCTGCACCTCGTCGCGGTTGCGCACCAGCATCACCGACAGGCTCTTGTGCGGGGCCTTGCCGGCCGTGAAGGAGAAGAAGTAGGCGCCCGGTACGCGGCAGCGGAAGCGCCCGGTGGCCGCGTCGAAGTCGCCGCCGATGTTCACGTACACCTTGTCGAAGGTCACCGCCATTTCCGACGTGCCCTCCAGCGGGGTGGTGCGAGCCGCCGAGAAGGCTGAGCGCAGCTCTGAAGAGCCAGGGCCAGCCGGGCCCAGTGCCCAGCAGGCCGCCGGGCTTAGCAAGCCCAGCAGGAGCAGCAGCATGGCACCTGCGAGGGGAGAGAAGACCCGGGCACGGGAGGAGGGTTGGACAGCGGCTGCCTCCACCTGTAATTTTTCTACCTAGCCTTGCTCTTGACCCATGGCTTGCTCTCCGTTTTCCTTCACTAGGCCAGTGCTTCTCACGTAGGGTGCTTCAGGGTCACCTGGAGTGCTCGTTACAGCACCCACACTTGTCCCCGCCTCGAATTTATTCCAGAAGTCTGGAATGGGGCCTGAGAGTTTGCGTGTTTAATAGTATCCTTAGTAGTCTGATCAGCTGATTTAGAGTTCACATTTTCAGAACCATTGGATTAGGCCAGTACTTCTCCGGACTTTTTTAAAGCATGAGAATCCTTTTGCAAATAAGACCTGGTGCACATGCCGCAAGCATGTTGAAATGCTCTACTTACTGAGGCCTGCAGCCCTGTCCTCTCTCCTCACCCCTCCTCCTCCTCTGGGTGTTAAGGAGGTCTAAATTGCCAACAGCCAGCGCTTCCATTCCACCACATTTTCCGGTGGTTTTTCTCCGGTCCTTGGCCTGCCCTTCACAATAAACACTGGCTCTTTGTATCCGCCGTGACAACGTTTTAAGTCGTGTCTGGGAATGAGTGGAGAGAGCCTCCCTCTGACCCCTTTCCTGGCCTCTGACCTACTCAAGGGTCCCACAGGGTCTCCAGACTCCCCTGGGGTCCTTCCTGCACTGAGGAGGTCTGGCCAGGCTTTGAGTTAGTGGCTTCCCTGTGAAAGCAGAATGAGGCAACCAGGGACTGGAGAGGTGGGTGGCTCAGCAGCTAAGAGTGTTAGCTGCCATTCCGGAAGACCCAGATTTAGTTTCCCAGCACCACATGGCAACTCACAACCATCTATCTATACCTAGATCTGATGCCTTCTTCTGGCCTCTGTTGGCAGCAGGCACACAAACATACATGCAAACAATACACACATATACATCATTTTGTTTTCATTTTTAAGGGCTATGATAACCCCCTTTGTGCCTTTGTGTTTGGAGGCTGGCTTCTGTGGGCAGGAGAGAGCCACTGCTGCTGAGGATATGGAGAACAAAATAAAATTCTGGCAGGATGGTGAAGTCAATGGCTTCATTTGGTGGTGGTGGTGGAGAATGGAGTGGACAGACACTTAGATCAGGATACCAGTCTTGGGGAATGAATGAACCACAAGCACTCTGACACTGAGTCACACCCCAGTCACCTTAGGCAACTGTTTTCTTTTAACTCTCTGAGTAAGGACGGCTTCATCTATGTAAATGGCATGATGGAGGGCCTCACACAAGCTTGTGGTAACATACCCAGACAGCAATTTCGAACAAGGTCTGTATAGGGACAGACCTACCCAGGTGTCCAGACGCTTCTGTTCTTACCCCTGGGAAAAGTGATCAAGTTCTTGACATAAGGGGTTAGAATGTTAGTAAATGCTTGGTGGTGGCATTATACAATTCCTGGAGGCTGCTGATGGTGGGGTTCCATCATGCTCTGAAGTAGGGCAGAGGCTTTGAAGCTTGAACACCCAAAGGCTCCAAAGTGGAAGGCCAGCAGGAAAGGGACTAGAGAGAGTTTGGAACATGAGCTTTTCTGGGAAGTACCCGCCAGGATGTTCACCTGAGGATTGGAATCTAGCCTGCATTCCGCTTGCCTAGCTGCTGGGGTAAAATGCACTGCCCTTTCATTCTCACAATAAAGACCTCAGGTCCAGCTGAGCGCTGCCTCCTTCCAGAGGGTGCTTTTCTGATTCTCACAGAGCTGCCTTATGGGTTACTTGGTGAGGGCAGGGAGGAGAGAAGGGGCCCTTGTGTCGTGGTAAAAACTGCACCTGCCAAGTGTCTAATCTATTCCTTTTTACAAAGCTACTTGAGACATACAGATAAACCCTCTCCCATTTTATGGATGAGAAAGCTGGTGCTGAGACCAGGGGTACACGTTTTGGCTCAAGGTCATCCACGGAACACTAAAGTAAGCCTTAAACAGAGGGTTTTTTAATTTCACATTCAGTGTTCTTGTCTGCTAGCTTTCCCTCTTACACAAAGGCATCTCTCCAGCCGATGTTTCCCGCCTCTGACCCCTTTTGCAAAAACAGATGAGACAAGGAAAGAGTGCTGGAATCTAGAGTGGAGGAGGAAGCTTAGCAAGCAGGCAGGCAGGCAGGCAGGCAAACAAAGGCAAGCCAAACCCTCTGTCATTTTGTCTCCTGGGAGGTGGGAGCACTCCCTGTGCCCTGCAGCTTTCCTAGCGGGTCTGCTCTAGAAGCGCCTGCCCACCCTATCCCTTGCCACCTCCCTGCCGAGCCTGGTACACCCATCAGTGCCAAAGGGTCTTCTTGTGTGTCCAATGCCCTTCCCCCTTTCATACTTTACTGCACGTGTCCCTGAACCCTGGATCCCTTCCTTTGGCAACCCCATTCCCTAGCAGGTCAGAGGGGGATGGGAAGGTGTCAGGTGGGTGTCAGAGCTCCAGGGAAGGAAATGGCTGCACAAAGCTCTGTCCAGGTAAAGCTCAGAATAGTCATCTTCAAAGAGAAAAACTGGGACAGAGAGCGGGGTAGACCCAGAGCCCCGGAACCAATGGAAAAGGTGCAGCGATGTCAGGCTGAGGGCATCTTCAAGCCCCTAGCGCCTTGCTCCCGGTACCCCAGTTAACCCAGCTCTCAAGCCCCGCCAGAACCCCCCTTCTATCTTCCTTGAAAGTCCGGCATCCTTTCAAGAAGGTGAGCCCCACTTTTACAGAAGTAGCCAATTAATCCTTTCTCGTGGGGAAAAAAAATGACCCCAAAAGCGGTCCCCCCAAGCCCTTTTCCGTGAGACCTGTCCCCCCCCACCCCTCCCTTCGGAGTGAAAGCCCTTGAGCCTCTTTCATGAAAAAGCGCCCAGGTCCTCCTTTCCAGGAAAAGGGACCGGGTCCCTCGCGCCTCCCGCCGCCCCCGCTCGCACAGAATCGGAGCCTGCGCCCCCGCCTCCTCCGGGCTGCCCTCACCTGGCTGGCGGCGGGCGGGTCGGCTTCGGTCGGAGCCGGCGATCCGGCTCCGCGAGGACGCGGGGCTGCGCACTGGTCGCCCGCGCTGCGGCTTGGCCGGGCCTGCGGGGGTGGCGGGGGGCTCGGGCGGCCGGGCGAGTGGGGACCCGGGCACAGGGAGGCGTGAGCGAGTGGGAAGGACAGCGGGAGCTGAAGCCGAGAAGCGCAGGGGCGGGGAGCAGGGGAGGCGGAGGGGAGAGCGGAGGACGAGGGAGGGGCGCCGAGCAGCGAGCAGCGGGGCCTGGGGCACCGCACCGAGCCTGCGCCGAGCGCGGGACCCTTCCTCACTGGCCCACCCAGAGCTTTATCTTCAGGGCGCCGAGAGCAGGCGTCATCGATCCAAGTTAGCAGACGGGGAAACCGAGGCCGCGGCAGAGGCCACACGAGGGGTGGCTCGGGGCATCATCCTACAGACCAGCTTTCCCCCTTGTGTGGGGAGAGAGGACTTGGACAAGACACGGGCTGCAAGGACAGTGGGAGAGGAGGTTTTGTGTGAGACGGGTGTCCAGGATGAGTGGCCTTGGGGAAAGTCTAAGGGAAGAGAAGGGTAATGGGTCAATGTCCTTAAAAGAAAGAGATGACAATGCCCCACTTTTCCTTCCTCACTTCTACGTCTGAAAATGCTCCCGCGCTAGCAAGGCTGGAGGGAGGACAAAGCTGCAGACATCAGCACACCGGCTTGAGTCCCTCTGGGAAGGACAAAGAAGAAGCAGAGTCCTTGCCCTGGGCTGATTTTTTTTTTTCTCTTTTTCTGAAAAGGGTTGAGAAAGGCGATAGAAGGTCCCTGTTCGGGACACGGACATCCCGTGGAGTGGTGCCTAGGTAGCAGGCAGTCCAGCAAGGCCTCAGGGCTGGGATCAGCATCTGCCCCTCTCACACTCACAGGCCCTCTGTATAGCACCTTGCCCCTAGGAGCTTTCTGGAACTCTCCAAACTTACCTGATCCCAGTTATTGGAGTACAAGTCATTGCCCATGAAGGCGTCGGAAGTGATGGGCTTGGCCTCACTTCCAGGGTGTTGGGTGAGCGAAGAGAGGGATGAGAGGATACGTCCCTGAACCAGAAGGAAAGGCCGGAAGCACTTTGGGCAGAGGCATGGGGACAAGGTGACATGAAAAGCACGTGTCCAGACCTTGTCACATCACAGCTGTGCCCTTCTCCTTGAACAGGGGGAGGGCCATGCCAATGGGGAGGGCCAAGTTTGATAGCCTAGAGGTGTGATGAGCCACACAGACATGCACAGGAGAGTTGGGCCAGGCCAGGAGCCAAGCTGTGACAACTGTGGCCCTTGACATGGGACCCCTCAATCAGGGGAGTGAGGTAGCCCTTCTGAATGGGATTCCAGCTGTGGAAGGAAGGGGAGGGGAAAAGGCAGGGCAATTAAATGCCAGCTGGGGCTGCGTGGGGCTGGAAGACATTTAACACTGAACCAGAAGAACTCGAACCAGAGAAGTCAGGGTGGGGGTGGAGATGGGGGTACAGCACGGCAGTAGGGGTTGCTTCAGGGTCTTGGGAAGGGGGAGGCAGGAAAGGATGAGGGGGAGGAATAATGCTGGGAGATGCTGGGTGTGGGGGCAGTCAGGAGTGGAGGGCCGTAGATATCAGATAGGAAGTTAGGAGTAGATGCCAGGACGGCGGCTCAGAGGAGAGCTCAGGGTAGTTTGTAGTCCTTACATCCTCCTCAACAGGTGCTGGCCGTGCTCTGTCCCCACGCCGACACCTCTCGTCCATAATGCCTCCCCCAGCCAGGATATTACCTGCAGACAGGGTTTGACCCTAACCCCCATTTGCATATCTCTCCTGGATCGTTCTTGGCTGTGCCCTCGAGTCAAACCGGAAGCGCTGGAGAGCTGGGATCCTCAAGCATCCCTCAACTGATTAGAGGCAGGGGCTGGGAGTGAATACTGCAGCTTCCTGGTTCCTCCGTGGGGGCCTTCCTATACCCAGGTCCAAGATGTGTTCCAGCGGAATTAAATAAGTCCTTTAGTGACAGCTCAGTAACATCAGCTTGCTTTGTTTTCCTGCTTCGCTTTCTAGGCCTGCCCTGTTTCCTGAGATTACCTCCAGAATAACTACTCAAACCCAAATTGTGTGTGTGTGTGTGTGTGTGTGTGTGTGTGTGTGTGTGTGTGTGTGTAGATGCATGCAGGTACCCACAGAGGCCAGAAGAGGGCATTAGATTCTCTGGAGCTGAAATTACAGGCAGTTGTTAGCTGCCTAGCGTGGATGCTGGGAACTGAACTCTGCAAGCGCTTTTAACCTCTGGGCCACCTTTCCAGCCTTCAAACCTAAATTCTTTCCTTTCCTTTTTTTCTTTTTCTTTCTTTTTTTCTTTTTCTTTCTTTCTTTCTTTCTTTCCCTCCCTCCCTCCCTCCCTCCCTCCCTCCCTCCCTCCCTCCCTCTCTCTCTCTCTCTCTCTCTCTCTCTCTCTCTCTCTCTCTCTCTCTCTCTCCAGACTTTCTCTGTGTAGTCCTAACTGTCCTGGAACTCAACTCTGTAGACCAGGCTGGCCTTGAACTCACAGAGATTCACCTGCCTCTGCCTCCCGAGTGCTGGGATTAAAGGCATGATGCACCACCACCTAACTCAAACCCAACTTCTTATCTCAGGGTCTGCCTTCAGGAGAATCAGACTGAGACACTGGGTGGTAAGTGTGTGCCTGGAATTAAGTTAAGTGCTTTCACAATGATTATCCCACTTATTTGTCTTACTACCCTTAAAAGTAGATAGCTCTAATCTTACAAATGAGGGACAGAGAATTTAATGCATGGTCTGGCTCCAGAATCCATAGGGCTGCAGCCTCCCTTACTCTGGTCATCCTTGGGTTTTACTTTCACCAGGGGTGGGGGGAATACTGTCCTGCTTGGGGGAAGCAGTGAACCCAGGCTCTCTTGCAGCTAAACATAGTCAGACAAATGTAAGCAGATTTCATCGTGGGAGAAAAAAAGTAACTTTCTTTGTGTCCTGGCTAGTTTTATGTCAACTTGACAAAAGCTAGAGTCATTGGAAAGGAGGGAACCTCAACTGAGAAAATGTCTGCACAAGATCTGGCTGCAGGCAAACCTGTAGGGCACTTTCTTAATTAGTGACTGATGTGGGAAAAAAAAAACAGCCCATTTTGGGTGGGGACACCTCTGGGCTGGTGGTCCTGAGTTCTATAAGAAAGAAGGCTGAGCAAGCTATGGGGAACGTGTAAGCCTCACTCCTTCTTGGCCTCTGTGCCAGCTCCTGCCTCCAGGTTCCTGCCCTGTTTGAGTTCCTGCCCTGACTTCCTTCAGTGATAAACGGTGATGTGGAATTATAAGTAAAATAAACCCTTTCCTCCCTAATTTGGTTTTGGTCATGGTGTTTCATCACAGCAATAGTAACCCTAACTAAGACACTTGCTTACTTTCTCATTTACCTTTTTGGTATGAAATCTTTTGTAGCCTGGGTTAGCCTCAAACTCTCCTCATAGTTGAGGATAACCTTGAACTCCTGATTGTCCTGCCATCACTCCCCAAGTGCTGGGATTACAGGCATGTGAATCCATGCCCAGCGCTCAGAAGGTGCTTTTATCTATTTGTTTATTTTATTTATTTTTTTTACATTTGGGGTGTGTGTGTGTGTGTGTGTGTGTGTGTGTGTGTGTGTGTGTGTGTGTGTTTACAAGTGCCATGGTTCAAATGTGGAGGTCAGAGTACAACTTGAAGAAGTTGATTCTCTCCTTCCACTTTGTGGATTCTTGGTACAAAACTCAGGTTGTCATCAAGCTTGGGGGCAAGAGCACTTACCTGCTGAGCCATTGCCCTGGCTCCCAGAAAGTGCTCGTGAAGGGACTGACTTTAGAGGGATGGCTGGCAGGCCCACTCCTTTTGCCCCCCCTCCTTTTCTTTCCTTTCTGGGATGTGGACATGAAGGACAGTGGTCACCTTAACAGTGAAGTGTTCTAAACACAGTGCCAGGTGACCACCCAGGAAGAAGCTGAGATGAACAAGACTTTGCCTCAAGGAAACAACACTTTAGGGCAGTGGTTCTCAACCTTCCTCATGCTGTGTCCCTGTAAAACAGTTCCTCGTGTTGTGGTGACCCCACATAAAATTATTTTCATTGTTACTTCATAACTCTAATCTTGCTACTGTTTTGAACCATAATGTGAATATCTGTGTTTTCCAATGGTCTTAGGGGACCCCTATGAAAGGGTCGTTCAACCCCCCTCAAGACCTACTGCTTCAGTGGGACTGTAGGGTGTGGACAAGAAGAGCTCAGTGCCAGGGCAGAGGCACAAAGTATTTTCAGCTGTGGTGGGGCATCCGGGAAGGTGTCATGGAGAAAGCTATTTCTACATAATGACAAGAGTTCTGACTTGGTGAGTGGAGGTGGAGATGGGGGAGGCAGGGGGCAAGACCCAATTAAAGGTAAGACTGTGATGTAACACGAACCTTAAAAGGTCTTATTAATAAAAACAAACCCCGGAGCCAGGTATTGGGGTGAACACTGAAAGATCAGAGAAACAGAACCAGCCACAGCTAACCTCACTTCCCCAACTTCTCAGCCAATCCTGCTTCCTCAGACTGAAAGCCTCTGAGTCCTCATCTGAATGGATCTCAGCTGAACTGCTGCTAAAAGCTAAAAGCTTAAAAATCTTCTAGTTCCTGGTCCTCACGCCTTATATACCTTTCTGCTTCCTGTCGTCACTTCCTGGGATTAAAGGCGTGTGTCACTATGCCTGGTTGTTTCCAGTGTGGCTTTGAACTCACAGAGATCCAGATGGATCTCTGCCTCCGGAATGCTAGGATTAAAGGCATGTGTTACCACTGCCTAACCTCTATGTTTTATATAGTGGCTGTTCTGTTCTCTGACCCCCAGGTAAGTTTATTGGGGTGCACACTATATCAACCACACTGTGATGTGAGCAAGGGTGTGGAGGAGGCACAGACGGCAGTTCAGGAGGCAGCTGCACACGCCGATTGAAAAGAGACAAAAAGAAAAAAGAGACAGGGGACAGAGGAGAGAAGAAAACCTATCAAGGAGAAAATGGTGGGTGTGTCTAGATGAATTTGGACTATGCGAGGAAAGAGGGAAGCGAC